ATATATATAGTCCTGCTGGGAGTCAACTCAAAAGACTTCAGGTTGTGATGAGTTTCTGCAGACTGAGAGAGAAAAGCTTTACGGTCTCATGTTTCTTTAAAAAAGCAGGAGGGGCTTCTCTCTTTCTTTGTGTCCAGGCTGAAATAATTTGCATATGCCCCTCCTCCTCTCTCGGGATTGGCTCGGCATGTGGAGACCTACACATACAAACTTTTCTCAGTTGGAGCTAAAACTTTTTTTTCCTGAGTTGAGGATGAAGTGAGAGCAGCTGAGAGAGGAACAGGACGATGTCTTAATGAGCTTCACACAGTAACGGTCTCCTGGAGGTTCTTCTTGTTTCTAGGTGAGAAACCAACACTTCAGTTCACGAGTCAGAAGAAACTGTAGATTATTATGAAGGATTGGATTTAACAAGATGGTATATGTTTGTTACAGATAAACAGGATCTTTTTCACTTATGTTTTAAACAAAACAGTTTTGATTTCAGTTCCATTCTAAACTAAGAAACCAACATTTGATTTACTAGTTTGTTTTGTTTTGAGATTATTTTGAAGAAAAAATGGATTTAATCAAGATCTTAAACAGGATATGTTTCACTTCTATATGAAAAGAAAACAGTTTTGATTTCAGTTTTTAAAATGTTAAAGTGTTTATTTTCTGTTTAGGAGATTAACATCCTCACTTCACCTCATTATGCTGCCGGCTCTGCTTCTGGCTCTGAGTCTTTGCTCCGACGTTCGCTCCTCCGATCCGTCATCGATAACAATCCAGTACCGTGTTTGGGAGGAGCAGCCGACGGGAACCCGGGTTGGCCGTCTGGTGGACGACCTCCGGCAGCGGGACGAAGGCGGCGGTCCTCTGGAGGATTTCCAGGTGGTGGAGCACGGGAAAGCCCTTCCCTTCTCAGTCAGCGGTCGAGACGGGGTCGTCTCCACCCAGGGCCGGCTGGACCGGGAGGATCTGTGCCGCGGCTCGGACCTGTGCGAGCTGGCCTTTAGCGTCCTCTACAGGAGGAGCGGCGCCGTCAACTTCCTGCGGGTCCGCGTGGAGGTGATGGACCTGAACGACCACACTCCCGGCTTCCCCGGCACGCTGCAGGAAGTGGAGATCTCGGAGACAGCCGGCATCAGGATGCGGATCCCTTTGGACCGGGCCGTGGACCCCGACGCTGGACCGAACGGCCTCCAGACGTACTCGCTGTCCGTCAACCAACACTTTGCTCTGGATGTGACGGTCGCGCCCGGTGGCACCAAACAGGCCGAGCTGGTGGTGATCAAAGAACTGGACAGGGAGGTTCAGGCCACGTTTGATCTCACCCTGGTGGCGTGGGACAAAGGGAACCCCCCCAGGTCTGGGAGCACATTAGTCCGCGTTAACGTTCAGGACTCGAATGATAACAGCCCCACGTTTGAGGACAGCACCCCCAGCGTGGAGCTTTCTGAGGATACGGCACGTGGGACAACCATAATCCACCTCAAGGCCACTGACCCGGACCAAGGTGCCAACGGGGAGGTTGAGTATTCGCTCAGTAAGCACACGCGTCCAGAGGTTCATAAACTGTTCCATGTGGATCCGCAAACCGGAGCTGTGAGTCTCAAAGCGCCGCTGGACCACGAGGCCCAAGCCTCCTATGAGGTGATCCTACAGGCCCGGGATCGCGGGCCCAATGCCATCCCCACACACTGCAAACTGCACGTCAAGCTCAGAGACGTCAACGATAACGCGCCCAGGATACACATGACCTGGACGCCACCCAACTCCCCCGTGGCGACTGTGCTGGAGGGAGCACCGGAGGACACCTTCCTGGCCCTGGTGATGGTCTCCGATGCGGATTCGGGAGAAAACGGCAAAGTGAGAGCTTACATTCAGCCAGAATCTGGCCCTTTTCGCCTGAAAAGGATCCACGGCGACAACTACATGATCGTTACCAACGGCAGCCTGGATCGAGAGAAGGTTATGCGGTACAACATCTCGCTGCTGGCCCAGGATTACGGAGACCCCCCACTGTCCTGTGTCAAACACCTGCCGGTCCACGTTCTGGACGAGAACGACAACGCCCCGGTGTTCTCCACCTCCCTCTACAAGGCCTCCTTCGAGGAAAATAACATGGCGGGCTACCACGTTCTCAAAGTCGAAGCCCACGACGTCGACCTGGAGTTCAGCGGACGAGTGTCCTACTTCATACGGAGCCCCAACGAAGTGGAAACCGACACCCGGTCTTTCTCTGTCCACCCGACCAGTGGCGTCATCAGCGTCCAGCGTCCTCTGGACTACGAGGAGTCCTACGCCTACTCCTTCACGGTGGAGGCCGTCGACCAGGGTCACCCTCCTCTCACCGGCACGGCCTCAGTGCAAATCGACGTTCGGGACGTGAACGACAACCACCCCATCATCAAGGAGCCGAAACCCAGAAAGGGCGTGGCCTCTCTGAGCATACCCGTCAATACAGACAAGGGGGAGATTGTGACGGAGCTCGGGAAGGACATCGACGAGGGATCCACCTCTCTGACGATCAATCGCCCGGTCAGAGACGGACTCGGATTCCTTGCGTCCACCTTAAAAGCTGAAGATCCAGATTCGGGGCTGAACGGACAACTCAGCTACCTCATCGCCGACGGGAACGTGGACGAACTGTTCTGGTTGGATCGGGCGACGGGCCAGCTGTTTGTGAACACCACCAACGCCACCGAGCTCGTTGGGAAAACCTTTAAGGTGAACGTAGCCGTGTCCGACATGGGGAGTCCCAGCTTGGCCACCGAGGCCACTCTGGAGGTGACTTTTATCAACCTCAAGGACCATTTGAAGAACTCGTCGCCCGGTAACCGCGGGCAGCTCAGCTTCACCATGATGATGGCCGTCTGCCTGGGGGCGACCTGCCTGTTGCTGCTGTTTGCCGTCGCTTTGGTGACGACGTTCTGCCGCCTGGAGAAACGGGACGACCGGGCGTACAACTGCCGGCAGGCGGAGTCCACTTACGACTGCCACCCGCGACGCCCGCAGAAGAACATCAGGAAGTCCGACATCCAGCTGATTCCCGTCATCAGAGGGCGGAAGGAGGAGCCTCCTGAGGACGACGGCAGTGAAGCCCGGCTTCTGGCTCCGCCCCCGATGGCGTCGGACGACGAACAAACCGAGAGGCAGTACACGTTGATGCCATCGGTCATGAACACAAGCTTCCATTCCCAAGGATACCCAGAAGGGGACGCCACCCACCACTGCAGAACTCTACGGAAACCCGGAAACATCGAACTGGACGCCGCGTCGCACCGGAATCTCTGCAAAGCCAGGAACCCTTCGTCGTCGTCCTCTTCGGCCTCGCATTCGAGCACCTTGAGGCGCAAGGCGACCGCCAGAGGGGAGGAGAGGACGGAGCCGGCGAGCTCGATGGCGTCCCAGGCGACTCTGAGGAGGCCGAGGACCTCGGAGGGACGAGGGGGAATCAACACAGAACACCAGCAGATACTCAGAAACCTGGTGCGACTGTCAATGGCTGCGTTCGGGGACGCCATCGAGCTTTCCTCAGCTTCACCTGAAGTGCAGGTGAGTCGTTGTTTGTCATGAATTACACCACTAAACTTTAACTCTTGTTCCTTACATGTGCGTTTAGTTACTTTGTTTAAACTTTGTTTATTTGTTCTTAGTCCTTAATTTTATGCCAGACGGTTTAAACTGATTGATTACAAGTTCTGAAGAAAATATAGAATTCATGATTTAACTAACTCTGCGTGATACTTTCTTAAAGTATTGTTTGATCTACTTTCTCTACTTAAGATTATTTACTACTAAACATTAAGGCCAATGTCGTTTACATTTAATTTACTGCCATCTAAAACGTTTTAATTCACTTGTGCTTAAACCACTATAGCTAACGCTCAGACCAGCTTCCATTACGTTCTCCCAGCAGCGTCTCTGCCCCCCCCCCCCCCCCCTGGTGTTCTTTTCCCACACCCAGAAGGGAAAAAGAGGGGTCAGTCACAGG